TTTTGTACACTATCATTCTAGATACTAATTTCCCCAAAAGATAACACAAAGCACCATCGTTCATCCTCAGGTTTATATCGTTAGAGGCACTGCTCCAGTTGAATCCTATTTACATAAAAAGCCATGCTGTGCACATTGATTCATTCAACATGTTTACAATATTTGACAATAACAATCTACATGAAATAAATGGTCCTAAATACAGTCTTAATCCCGCCCTCCCTTTCTTTTTCTACTTTTATTTTGGTATTTCTTGTTCTGCTAGTGACGTAGCCTTGAACACAGGAGCTTGATTACTTGGCTCGTAATTCTTTTTTTTGGCACTCTTGCCTTTTGTCAGCTTTAATTGAAACACTAGCCTTATTATTGGCATCAAATGTTTTCAAAAGCTAAAGCGAAGAAGTATGAGTGCACTGTATGGCTAGGGTAACACTTGTGATTTGAAAATGGGCTTGCCTTCTTTACAGCATATTGGTTTAGTTCATTGTTTTCAACAGTTCTATCTTTAATAAAAACTATTATTGTCTAGTGAATATGCTGTTTGGTGACTACATAACTTGAGATGATGCAGGTTCTGCTACAACTGTAGCTACGTCAAGGGCCCACCTCATTGCACTTATCCGCCAGCTTTCTGTACAGTGCACACATGGTTATATAGATGAGAGACAAATACAACATATGAAGTAATGACACACGTACAGGTCGGTATAATATTCTATGTGCTTATACGTCAAAACAGTCAAGAGTCAATTGATTACGTTTACTTTTAAATAGAAAGATAATAAAGAGGGATAACGACTACACATATCTGATGTTGCCTAGTGGAAGAGAATGAATTAAGAGACATGTTGAACGTAAGTGTTTTTGGACGAGCTAAACACGTATTACCCTTGAAGATATAGATCAGAGATGCGATCATGCCAATCATTTATCATCCACAATTGGGAATTGGATATATGTCACTTGTGGTCGGACAATCTGAGCATAAAATTTAAAACAGTTTAGAAAACCCAGTGTGACCATTCGAGGTGAGGACGTTATGGTAAAGTTTGTAGTCAATAGTTATCCAACATTAAGGTACAGTAAAGGCTCTTTACGTCTTTCAAGGCATTAATAAAAAGAAGAAAGTTAGGATTCCATGGATGGGAAAGGTCAACGCAAAATTGCCCGTGATATCATCATTTGTCGTTCTTTGGAAATGCAAGATTTCCTCTCTTTCCTATAGTCTGGGACCACTCTTGTGAAACTCAAAGCCCCCTCCTCCTCCTCGTACATGGTAAATCCACTGTTTGCAGATAAAGCAAATGATTTCATGTGTTTTATTATTGAACAGCATCGTTTACTCTTTTCTTGAAATAAGTCCAGACACCATGACGAGGCTTTGTAGTAAGAACCACTTTGGTATCAATGTGACACCCTTCTTTTAAGTGAAAAGTGAATTGATTGACAGTAGAAGCGATGATCAGTCTGAGCTCAAGGGTTGCCAAATTCTTCCCCAAGCATGAATGTTGACCAAGAGTAAACGCGATATCAGGGAAATCGTACTGGTTGCTTGGCGTGATAAGATCTACTGAGGTCGACGGTGGCTTGAATGTATCAAAAGAGTGATCTTCGCTTTCTTCATGTTCAGGCCGCAACCAACGCGTGGGGTCAAACTTGTCAGGGTCGGGAAATATCCTAGGGTTCATTTGAACACCTCTCACGTTACACCATATCTCTGAGTCTCCAGGTACAACAACGCCATCGACAAGGATATCACGATTGACATGAACAGGGATAAAGACAACAGCTGGGTACTTTCGTAAAGCTTCCTTGTAAACAGCGGTAACCAAAGGCATCCTGGCTAGCTTCTCAGTCGTGATTGTGTCTGGATCGATAGGTGGGGGACCCAAAACTTGACGGACTTGGTTAAATAGGTCTTCTTGTAGCTGGGGATTCTGGGCAAGCTCTGCAAATGTAAAGGCAAGCGTGTGAGCTGTAGTGTCATAGCCTGCAAAGGTAAGCGCAAGTAAATCATTGACCAGGTCAACATGGTCTTCACCGTAACGACCGCTGGCAAAGGCGCATGCAGCAACGGATCGATAGATGTGATCTTTTGGTGGTATACCTCGTTCTTTAAATTTCTTCAGATCATAGTGATAATCTTGTAGAGCATACTTTAATGAATCTCGAATAAACGTCTTGAGTTGTTCGCGAGCCGGTTTGTAGCTCTTTTGTCCCCAATCAGTCTTGTTGATACCAAAAGGTAGCCATGCCTTGAGTGATTGAAAGCCAAAACCAAGATGCCCGTGGATAAACTGGAATAAGAAGAGTGAGAACTAGGGAATTGTATTCTTCTCCATGGCTCACCTTAAGGTTTGTTCTTCCTCCAACCAAGTCATAGTTAAGATCATGTCTACCATATAGATAATAATTGATAACATCCATTGTGGTGTCCATAAAATAGCTGTCGAGTTCAGCAGCACTCCCTTCTTCAGCATGTTTTGCAAATAGTTCCATCAGATCATTTACACGTCTTGTTACATATGGGAGTAATTTAGGGACAAGCTGCTTTGGTTGAAACGGTGGTAAAAGAACATGACGTCTCCAACGCCATTCCTACAAAAGTAAATATATGAGTCAATGTTTTCTTTTGAATTTCATCTCACCCCTCTCTTCTTACTTGCCTCTCCAATAGTGTTGTTCAGATTTTTACCACCAAACACTAGGTTGTGAATCAATCGGATCAGATCACCTCGCTGCACTTTAGGTATTTCATTCTTCGACTTGTGCTGACCAGTTATCAAAACATCCTTTATACCCTTTAACGTACTCACGACCACCAGAGGCTTTCCCGTGATAGACCAGCAGACACTAACGGGAGAATACTTGGAATCCTGTCCAGCACGGATCAGGAACTTGGAAATCTCGTCTGTCTTTTCAGAAGTAGATGGAGGAGGTACTAGACCAAAGTACTTTGTTACAAAATGAGGTGTGGGAGCAAGTGGAGCCAAAGCGAGCGATTTTGATCTGTACCTTCGTCGGGTGTAGATCCAGATATACGTTATTGAGACGAGACTGAAAGAGATCAAGTAGCTATAAATCCCTTGGGTCATGATTTATTCATCGTAGAAAACCGAAAAGAGAAAAGCTCAAGGTCCTATTTATTACCCATCATTTGCTAATTTCTGTCATTTTCAGGCACACGCAACTTCAAACTTTATCCTATTCACGATTTTAGCCAATAGGAAGTGTTCATTCTTGACAATAATGTATACAGCTGCTCTGTCTTTCAAAGTGTGAACAATGAAATGAATATAACTCGAACAGACGCGCTTCGTTCACTATAATCACAAATATTCGCAATGGGTACTATAATTTATATGTCTATCAGGACTATTCTATATTTGAGAAACTAGGAAAAAAAGAAAGCAGGAAGGTGAACAATAGAGGAATAGGGCGTGTATATACTTTACATATAGCAAACCAATTATTTTTATATATAATGATATACCAAAGAACTTTATACACTTTGTCTTTATGGCTGTGTACAATTATTTCTTATTTACATTGTTTTTTAAAATATGCATGATATTTCAGATTATACAGTCATAATTTCATAGGAATGCTTATAGTAAGAAGAACCTCTATTAAAAAAATATTACTCTACGTAACTGTTTGATCCTCTCTTGTATTAAATAAATAATAGAAACAGGTAAAGGTTTGTTATTTTGATCCCGATTATTGCACCACTTTACTTGATTCGTTGTCCTGCAGTAATACTACCAATTTTTGTTTTTCAGAATTCACTTTTGTGTCTTTCGAGGCTTTACAGAAGCACAAAAATCAGTCATATCATGTGGCTAATAGATACTCACGTTGAATACAAAAGTGTATATATATTAGTTCAAAAATAAGCGATATATACTCATGTTGGAGTATGTTATAAAAACAGAAATAAACATATCAAGGCACTGTTCGAACGTTTATCTATCATTAAGAGTGATTTAAGTCAGAGCAGATTAGTTGCCCTATGTTTGTTCTTCAAAATACAATTGACCCCATTTGGATAGATTGGAGATAAAGGGGTACTATCCAAATTAGTACTTGTAATGGTAAGCCAATCAAATCTTTTTGCTGTATAACAATGAAAACGGTGTGCAAAGAGAAAGAAATAGAAAGAGATCTCTAATCATGTGGATATTATAAACTCCTAAAAAAAGACATGATGACATAGAGATTAGGACATTAGCTGAAGACATGACAAAAAGGGGTTAACTATAAAGCAGAGAGTTTTATTTTTCCGTGGAGAAATTTTTATCCTCGCCAATAATAATAATAAATGCTGATTTAGTGAGTCCATTTTGAGCAAAGTATTCGAAATAGGGTAAAATAGAGATTAAAGTCAAGAAATAAGGGTTAGAGCAAGTTGAATAGGTCTGATCTATTAAGTAAAATAATCACATACATAGTTTGATGGTCGTACCATGCACACCATTGCTCAAAACGTGGAGATTGATTTATAATCATTTTATAAATTATTTTGGAGATGGAAATTTATTAATAATCTTTTCATTGCCCAATAAGGGTTGATTTTTTGCTTTATTTGAAAAAGTGTCAAGTTGTACAAGTTGCGCAATGAACATAATGGTAATCGCCTGATCTACAGAGACATAAGGAAAGCTCCTCGTGCAGCTTTTGTAACATTGATTCGTAGGGGAATAATAAAGGCAGGAAAATCATCATTCATTGTTGGGAAATATAGATTACTTTATATGTCAATGATTGAATGAAGCATATGTTTTTATTAATTGACGTAAAAATTATTATAGACACAAGAAGGAAAAAAAAAAGAAATATAATACAACATAAATGGATCTGTACATAATGTAACAATGAAAGAAAGGGTGAAATAAATAACCTTAGAGCATAAGTCCCTGACTGACAGCCCACATATTAGCTGCATGTTCAAGTAGCTTGGATACATCATCTGGTATATTGCAAATCAAAATATTTGACAGAATCTGTTGCTTGTGTTTTGGCCAATCAACCAATTGCTCATCTTCTCCACTACATATATCTGGAAAGGCATAAGGGTCCATGTGTTCCATTGTGAATCGTTCATATAGTAAAGTCATTTCAGGAATCACCATATGATAATCACCCAGGGACGTAAAGGTTACGGTTACCTCTGGAGCAAAAGGAAATAAACCTGTATAGGGTACATTGGGTTGAACTGACTGCTTCAAGCAGTTCAGTAAGAATAAAGTTTGACACCAGACAGGTAATCGTCCTCTAATGATGAGATCATGGACATCAGAGTATGGATTGGTGTATCGAGCACCAAATGTATAACTGTAAGGAACAAAAAGATCATCATAAGAATTGTGTCCTCGTTTCGAGTAAAGCGTATCAAAATGAAAGTTATCAACAGGAGCTTCACTAACTAGATAAACAATGGATTAATAATCTGAAAATATTTTTTTTTTTTTTTTTACCATTCGAGTCAATCGTTTGAGACAAGATATCATCAATTGTAGATAGCGTAGGTGATGACTGAGGGCTTGAGGATTGCCAGACTTGATGAACAAAGATACCTCTTGATAAACGCATGATAGAGATCTGGTTGAGGTTGAGACGTTTACAGCAGATCATTCTCAACAACAAATTTTCAGATCGCTGGCGTCGATAGGACAATGCATCGGATGAATCAAATGGATCTGATGGATACTGAAATGGATTCCTTGAATATTGATTAGAGCCATGTGCCATCTTTTGCATAAACAACGAGTCTGGTATAGGAAAGGCGGTGCTTGTGGTGTTGAATAACTGTTGACGCATATGGGCAATGAAGTCTTTGCTTTGTTCAATAAATGTGCTTTGAGTTGATACCAAAGAGTTGATATCATCAATCAAGAAATCATCTTGTTGCTTGTCAGTCGAGAAGTAATACGGTTGTTCCAAATAAATAGCCATTGATTAGTAAAGTAAAGAGTGAGAGAGAAAGATGTTGATTTGAAATCAAGCTCTTTTTATTTGTAATCTCTACATCTCTCCGCAGCCAAAAATTTTTTGAGTCAAAAAAAAAAGTGTGCGGTGATGCGGAACAAGAGCCATGCTTATTTTTTTAGGTATTTGGCCGCGTCTCCCCATTTATCTAAATTTGGATAAGCAGGGATCAAACATCACATGGAGTATTACTGTTTACACTTGCTTAACCTATTTGTCATATTCTCCTATCTTCATTTTGTCTTCACCATCACATATCTCTTATGATCCTTCACCTTTTTTTTTTTTGGTCTTGTCTGGATGCTTACGTGATATATTTGGCCTCCCCCTATTGCTAAATTTGTTACCAACCTTTTAAATTGAATGGTGTAACATTAAAGCTTTTTTTTTTTTCCTGAGCAGAACAGAATCTGGAATTGAGTGCCGAACGGATAACAACGGCGAAAAGCGTGAGGGACGGACCGTATGTTTTATCAGATCCATCGGAACATGAATCAGATTGTTTTTGTTTACTCTCCTTAATGTGTTTATGTTGACGTGGACTTTGCTTTAATGATTCCTCCCTAAACAAAGAAAAATTTTCTCTCTCTCTTTCTTCTCTCATGGATTATTTTTCCAAGTTTAAGAAACGTATTACACCTCCTAAAGTACAGGCAACAAGTGCTATGCAATTGGCCAAGTTCCACAAATGCTGGGACTATGTGCACGTAAGCATTTTGTAGATTAATCAAGCCATATTTTGGACTGTTTCTTTTTTTTTTTTTGTAGAATATTTTTATCTCGGAGGATAGAAAGGCAAATCTTCATGTCAAACAGACAGAGATACCGGAAAGGTTGAGGGAGATGGTAGACATGCTTGTTGATGAAGAGGCTCGACAGGAGGATGAGAATACGACGGGTGTATGCATGGAGTATCTGCTGAAAAATGGAATATTGCAGTATCTCGTCAATGTATCTGAAAAGATGGATTACCCTGAAGGTATTCGTGGCGAAAGTATTCGAATGATTGCCAACATGGTAGACCTACTTGACGATCGTTTCTTGGTTCATAATGCGGTGCATAAGCCGACGATCAAGCTTATTCGATTTTGTACGTTTAATCCACAGAGTGAACAGAGATACCATAAAGACCTTGTTGACCTCATGTACATCATATGCTCAAGGATTCACGGTTTTCCAGCGCTCTTAAACGTCTTCTTTCACGATAAACAGTACCTTACACTACATCAGCATGAAAACAAACCTGATTACGAATTTTTGTTGTTTACTTATTTGTTACGCTTCGTTCATCGAGAAGGAAGGTCAGGTGATTTTGCACGTACAGGATTGCTTTTCCTCATTGAGATGGCTACAGATGATCACCAGCTAGGTGAATTTATCCTCGAATCTGATTTTGCCACCATCATAGCAGCCGGACTAGGTGCGCTCTATTCACAGTTACCAAGAAAGCTCATTGTTCAAAATGATGAAAATGATGCGCCATTATTGGGCGCTTATACCCCTCAAGATAATAACAACAACAACAACAACAACAATTATGACGATGTCGAGTTAGGCATAGAGTACTCCAGCTCGGAGCTATTTAAGTATCAGTTAGATTCCTTTTTAAAATTATTAGAATTCTGTCAAGATGTCCTGATACGATGCCCCAACGACGCCATATCACAGCGCATGCTACAGTTTGTACGCACAACATTTTTGGAAAACATTCTGTACCCCTCTATTCTCGAATGTTCTGACTTTGATGGATCCTCAGTGGCGGTCATCAGCTATATCGACCTCATGTTGCAGGCTATCCAAGAACCAAAGTTAGTGGATGTCATCCTAGGCTTTCTCATGCAACAAGAGAACTATGACAGCGTCGTACCAGATAGTTCGCCCTATAACTCGGCGGATAGATTTACCCTGAAGGACTTGATATTCACACGCCTACAGTCTACCTCGCAACCTACCGTCATCGCCACGTTAAAGTTACTCAAGACCCTGATCGTTCGTCATTGTCGGTTTGCTAATCGGTTACTTACGCTAGACAGAATTCAAGAGCCTCCAGCATGTATCATATCCCATCATATACGAGAAATCGAACTTTATTTTGCACTCATTTCAGCTATGGACAAGGAGCACGCCAACTCCATCTTGACGGTTGGTTATGAGGATTACCTGCGTGATGTCGAAGGCAGGATGGATGCAGATGACTGCTATCAATCGTACAATCAACAACCTGTATACGTACCATCGACAACAAAAAGTGAAAAGAGACGAAGCTTCAAGTATGGACAGCAGAGGATGGTACCGATGTCTGGAGATCACTATTACCACTCTTATTACCAGCAACAACAACTACAGCATCAACAATCATCCATACGACACCGATTACGATCATCCGATACCCTCCTCCAGATCCTCCTCAATCTCTTTTCCCACTTTTTTGCACAGTCGACTGAACTTAACTTAGCTCTGACCGGCGTTCTTTCAGCATTGGCCATGTGTCCTCATCGTAGTTTGGAAGGATGGCTTACGTTCACAGAGCACGATCGAACCCACCCAGACGATATTTTGTTGTTATCACGCTATGAAGAAAGCGATGAAGAAGAAGAAGAAGAATGTGTGAATAGTAATATAAAGATTAGGATGCAGGATATCTATGCAGCCACGATACCCACTGATGATGACGAAGACGACCAATCCGTTGATTTCGGCATGGAAAAGAACTCTATTCATATGACAGCGCCTACCCAATTCAAATCTTTTCCTCCATTTTATACCATCTTTAGAACCCTGACCCAGCAAGTGGACTATTATCGCTCTGAAATTGACGACTTCAATCTCTTGTTGTATCAAAGATGGCAGAATGTGTTTGCCACTACCACCACCAGTTCATCACCCTCATTGAGCCCAAGCACAAGCGTTTCATCTAAACGTCGATCGTCTATTTCGTCCATTATGGATAATCTGAAGCCTGCTTCAGTCTCTACTGCTGCTAGTATAGCAACCAATCGTAGTGCGCCTGCCGTGATGGATGATAGCAAGACAAGCCAGGTTAGAATCCAGCCTCTGTTTCCTTCAAACTTTAGCTCTGAGATATCCTTGTCTATGTTGCTGAATAATATCATTATCTTGCAAGAAACGATTAAAGAGTTAGTTGCTATTGTTCAAGTCCGAAGAAGTTTAGGCATTGATAAAATAAAGTATGCATAATGAACAATACAATAAAAGAGATTGTTTTTCCAAGGCATGTTTTTTTTTCTTAAATGATAGACGATGTCTAGATATCTGTAGTCATTTTGTCATTTATATATAAAAATAGAGTTTATTAGGACAAACATAAACAAAGTGGAGAATTGTTATAAAGAATCTATAATGGTAACATCGGAGGGGGTGTCTATTTTCCTCTCCCTCCCTCTTTTCAGAGGAAAGAAGAGAGGGGTATTATTCTTGATCGCGCGTATTATTAAGAGCAAAGTTAGGATTTGCTGTGGGCAGCACAAATCCACCAACATCATGCTTCTTTTCATGAAACACTGGGCTCAGGGCAGACCTTATTTCTTCATAGGGCTTGGGTGGTAAATAGTTTTGATAAAACTGATACAAGTTTTCTTGATTTAACGGCTGACTGAATGGACTCATAAAGGCAGGTGGGTGAAAGACAGGTTGGTGGTGTGTAGTACTAGGCGTGGTTGTTGTCTTTTCGACAGCATCAGGTTTATAGAGTGAATGATGCTTTTCCAAGTTGACGGATTGCTCACTAACCGAGGGACTAGGATTAGAAGAAGCAGAGGCGGATGAAGAAGGACTTGGCTGTTTTGTTTCTCCGTCTGTCAAGGCAACAGGCACAGGAGGTAGTTCCTTATTCATCTTTACGATCAGTGGGTTATGTCCATGGTGCGACGTAAGCGTTCTTCTCAATTTGGCTTGATCTGGCTTCCACTCATGAATAGCATGTTTAGCATCGTCCTGTATACGCTTTGTTCTGTGTGTACTCTGGTATGCCGGACGTTCCTCACCTGGCTTGATGGGTTGTGTATCTAGTTCGTCGACAATGTATTTACCAAACGTTGAAATGATGTCTGTCTTGCTTGACATGGCATGCATTCCGTTCAACAGGATGTATAACGCCTCTCTGGTAGCTATTCTCTTGTAATTACTCATTTCAACTTCATCTGGTTCAGTAAATGCCTCGAGTTCCTTGAGCTGTTCCTTGAGCGCATTCAGTCGATCAATTGCAGTGGGCGAATCCTCGAGTTTCTCAATCTGATCCTTAAGCTTCTTCTTTTGGTCACGGCTTTGTTGTAAAGCGGCTTCCTTGATCGAGATCGATTTAAGTGTATCGCGGTATTGTTCGAAGCTGTCTGCAAACTCCATTAAGATACTTGTCCACTCGCTTAATAAGTTTCCCATTTTGCTTGTTACGTCCTATAGTGTATATAGGTTTAATCTATAGTAATCTTTTTTTTCATTTGTTTTACTTACAGTTAGGTCGTCACCAAGAGGAGAACCATACATGACCAAGTTGTTAGATGCCACTCGACTGTCATCTGCCACTTGAACAAGACTCTTGCTTATTTTTGTAGAGTGATCAATGACACCTTCTAGTCCTTTAAGAGAGAGAGGTTTTTCACTTGTTGGTTTATGAAAAGGATTAAAACTAAACATGAAAGAAAAGAAAGGAAGAAAGAAAAAGAAAAAGAAGAGAAAGAGCGTGTATTTATAGAAACGATGTCATTTTTCCCCGCTTGAATGGATTAATAAGGAAATCTTTTTTCTTTTCTCTCTCTCTCTTTTTCTTTCTTTCTTTTCTTTTTTTATTAATAATGGGAGTATCTTTACTAACATACACTGTTATATTTTTCATTTTTATTTGTAATTATGCCTTGACTATATGTTCACTGATATTTCCTAAATGGTATGGATCATAAAACCAAGTATTCCAGTTTTGCTAATATCTCTACAAGGCTAACTTTTGCTACACCGATACCTTTTTATATGGAAACTAATTATGGATTATTCAAATTATGCAGAAGGTACTGACGTTATTGGGCTTAATATAAATATTAAGTATATTATCAGTGTTACAAGAGAATGTCGACCTTTTCCTTCTTATGATCACGGAGACTGCCAAGAAGGTAAATAGAAATCTATATTTAGTCCAGAGAGAATGATTAACATAAAGAGAATAGACGGATTTTGTGAATTATGGTACAGGAACAGCTATTTGAATACAAATATGTATTGATATATTATATTATCAGGAGAGCTGCTGGCGCTGGCATGGTAGTTGCTACCATCATTGGAGGACTAATCTTGTGTGGACTGTTGGCAACTATGTGTAGCCAAAGACGTAAAAGGGCAAAGGCATGGGCACCTATTTCATCGTAAGCTCAAATGTGACGCTTTCTGACGATAATATTAATCCCATTTTATTCTTATTAGAATGTTCTTGATTTACGGTTTGTTGATAATGCAATGTATACGCATGAATCTAATATCTATGTATGTATTTAGCTATTCCACAAGCATTTTCAATGGCAGCAATTGCTTATTTATTCAACACAAGCTCAGTATTTTACATTGGAACTCGATACAACTTTTCATTTATTCTTTGCATCATTAGCTGGATATTAAGTATCATGCTTTCTATTGTATTATGCTTAATTGCTACACTATCTCCACCTGATTATGCATACCAGTCACTTTAAGGGTTCCATAATCCATTGTGTGGTAAGGGGATTGATATAACTGATTCCCCTCGCGTATTATTGTACATTTCAAATAAAAGGGTCATAATGTATGTATCTGTCCGCAATAGGATTGTGATTTCTATGATAACAGACACCTGGGAAAAACGGAAAGCTTCCTTGATTCATGTGGTTGAAACTCCCCTTTTGCGTACAAGTACATCAAGGCGTACTACTGGGCATAAATACTAAATATATCGGAGTCTACTTGGCTGTTTGATCTAGCTTCTCTACGAAAGCCGAGGAACCAGCCTCGTTGAAGCTCTTGTTTGCTTGTCTATTGCAAACTGTTGCTAAGACATTGTACTTTTTTATTCTTGGTCTTAGTAGCACAAACCCTTTCAACCTTCAACAGTCTCTCCTTCAACTTTCCACTGATTGTGTAGCCTGATTCAAAACGCCTGCCAAACATGTTGCGCAGATCCTTCCAGTCATTATCAACAAAAAGCCTTTTTTGAGGACTAGAGAAATAAGACAAGTCAATTATGGAGTTCAAGCCCAAGCTAATTGACACTACTATTAGCCAGTTTGGGATACGGAAGATCTGAAAACCAGGATTTCTGAGGCATGTGACCAAGTTCCGAGAAAGCGCTTGTATAATTTTACTCAGCATTCTGTAAACGTATTTGAATATTGCTTAAATGAACGCTTTGTATAAGCTTTTGTATTGTATTCTTTTACCGTGAATTGAGAATCTTTGTAGTGCAATTTGGTTTTTTACCCAACGCAAATTGGTATTTAAAAATACGCAAAAACATTTGAAAGCACGCAGATTGGTACCGTGGACACTGTCCATATACCTGTTGCTTGATATAGTAATTGATTTTAAAACTGTCTACATTCAAAACTGAGACACTAGAGCAAGCAAAAGGGAGAGGGTTAGTTCTTTTACCATAGGCTTTGTTTTAAAAGAGCGACTTACTTTTTAGGAACTTTTTTTTTTTTTTTTTTTTTTTTTTTTTACAGCTTTTTCCCTTCTTTGAACTCTTTTCTATTTTCAATGGATGACGATGCGATTGAATATTATTTTGATGACATTGAAAGCTTCTATTCTGGTAATACTAAAAGACGCATATATATACAGAATGAAGCAAAGCATAGAGTTGACATATATTTATATATGCATATAGAATTAGATGAGATACTTCATAGACCTTATTCAACAGAACAAGATGTCCAAAGGATCATCACTCAATACATTCGATTTATTGTTCGATACTCAAGTATGTTCACTAGTGTATATTTCCAATACAAATCTAATATTTTAACTGGACAGAAGACTTTCTAAAGGGATCAGCAGAAATAGATCAAGTAGCATATAAACTCATTGATTCACAAATATGTCTAGACTACAGTACAGTCGTATTATCTCATATCGTTCATTCTCATGCACTTGTCGATCAAGACTATATACCATATGCTATATTACTTATAGCTGGAAGAGATGAACCAAGGTGGATGAAATATATCCTAATGGAATCCATACAGGCTAAAAGGAACAGACTATTTTGTAAATTGATTCAAGAAATTAAACTTGGAATATGGGATACAAATTTGGATATTTCGAGTATCCTCTTTGGTCTTTGTTTTGAACTTTGTAAACTAGACACAATGGAAAAGGAAGACTTGGGTTAGTTTTTATCCCTAAGTAATATACCATTGCTAAACTTAAAATAGACCTTGTCGATTCTCCTTTAATCCATCATCTTTTGGATCTCGTTCAAGAAACACGTGGTGACGCTCAGGAATCCTTTAATTATGATGTCATTCATCTCATCATGATCTTTAATGAACAATACATGATGTCTGGATCAAATGAAAATCTGATTCTAGATGTATTATCTCAGCGTATTGGTACATCGGATATCTTTAGTGCTAATTTGATATTCATGCTCAACAGATCAAGTAAAAAGGCATTAGCATCATGTGTTCTATCTTCTAACCTGTGTGTGTATTTTTAGATGATATATGTATTCAGATGCTTATATTGAAGTTATTATACGCTATATTCACTAGACAGACACTCTATGAATATTTTTACACCAATGATCTTTATGTCCTGGTTGATATCATTCTCAGAGAATTATGCGGTTTGGGTGATACGAAGGAAGGACAGACAGTAAGCTAGAGAGTTTATAAATATATTTTTTATTGATATACTATTCTTTTTAGCTCCTAGATGCTTACCTAAGGGTTTTAGAACCTTTATTAGAAAATACCCAATTAAATAGAAGACCTTATAAAAAGGAAGAGATATACCGCGTACTTCAACAACTCATTCATCCTGGCATGCAAAGAAAAGCACATTCTACTACAAAAAGACTTGTTAAGCGCATTATTGAGGATTGGTATGACTGCTGCAGTTCTCCTGCTACATCTTCTCTAGGTCCATCCACTCCTGCTGATGACATCCCCGAAGATGTATTAGCAAAGCAAGTCGTGTAAATAACAATAACAATAATAATAAACTAATCCCCCACTCTTTTTTTTTTGGCTTTAATTTTTTTCTAAACAGTTTATAATCTTGATTGCATTCATCGGCGCAAAAGCGAATCCCGACTGACGGAGATTAAAAATCAATGTATTGCTTGGAGCAAGTTACGTTTTTCTCTCTCCTCTGTATATTCTTAGAATGGCAAAGAAAACTTCATTGCTAAGTCAAGGACTCATCGCTATCAGTTGGTCCATTTTGCTCTTCTTTTTAGGCTCTTATTTGATTACAGAAACATGGACGTGGGGTTATCGTGGAAAGTGGACAAATATTCACAGTTATTTGCCTGTAAAAAAAGAAGATTCTTAACTATATTATCCAACTTACCTTGTTTATTAGCATAAAGAACGAGTATTTACCGAGCAAGAATTAGCAAGATACGATGGCTCAGATCCTTCACTTCCTATTTATTTGGCAATAGAGTATTTATTTACAAACTTTATTTTACTTGACATACTCACTTGCATTTATAGTGGCGACGTTTACGATGTGACCAAGGGCGCAGGATGGTACGGAAAAGGAGGAAGTTATCACCACTTTTCTGGGAAAGATGCTGCGAGAGCCTATGTCACTGGCTGCTTTCAGGACCATTTGACGCATGATCTAAGAGGATTGACTGCAGAACAGCTGAAGGGAGTAGAGCATTGGAAAAAGTTTTATGAAAATCATCATACGTACCATAAAGTTGGGCGCGTTCATCATGATCCTATTCCAGCGAATGCACCTATACCAAAACCATGTAAATCGGCTACAAAGCAAAAGCCCTAATAATAATTATAATAATAAAAATAAACAAAAACAAACAATTTAAGGGGAAAAAAAAAAAAGCAAAAACAGAAAAGTTTAAAAAAGGATGAAAGAATACACATTGTTTCGAATATGCAAGAATTGAAGTATATCTCTTTCTTTTCTTCTTTTTCTTTGCATTTTATCATCCTATGAACTATAGTGCTTCAATCAAAACCGTATCACAAAAGCCAAATGTCAAATACGAGGCATCGGATGACGCATTGGCTCAGTTACTAAGCAAACTTAACAAAGTAAAAAACAAGACATTGACAACTTTATCATATTTTTATGTAATAGATTAGGGAACAGAAACCATCATGAACCTACGCGCATTAATCACGACCAAGTCAGCCGAGCTTAATCAACTCATTCAACAGCTACGGTTGATCGACCAAGTGTTGACCCATGTTGAGCACGAAACAGAACAGATTGAGCAGGTACTAAGGGATTTAACAAGCCGAGATGAATTGGTTTATACAGAAGCTACGTTGGATTCTGCACTTCAGTCCGCCTGTCGACTCTCTTCTTCTATTACTACATGTACCAAAAAGGTAAGGCAATCCTAGGGCGTGATAGAAGAAGAAAGAAATTCATTGTTTTTTGTTAGCCAAATTCAATCCATCGGAATAATGAATGGATACTAATGAACAAAGTCAATACAAAACTAAAACAACTAGATATTGACCCAACTCACTATTTCAACACGTTAGGTAGGATGCTCATTCTGTCATACGTCCCTGTGAAGCACTCATGTTTTTTTTAGATGATACACAAGTGTTACAGAAGGCATTGATTGACCTTGAAATTGCAAAGACGATATCGACTTGTATAAAAAATGACTATAAGCGTAGAAGTGCATTAATGAAAAACAAACATGCAGAAGAGAATATTACGCAGGTAAGGAGATAACTTATTGTTGAACTCGCATGATAAAAACAACAAAAAAAGTTGGGTGATAAAATTAGGGAAGAAGTGAAGATTTGGAAGCAGTATAGCCAGAACGCGCCTTTGATGATTCAGGATAAAGACATTCTTGTTTTGCTTCATATTCAGGACCAGCAAGTCACAAAAAACAAGAGAAAGTCTAATCAAGCTCTCTATTCAAAACATACTTCATCCTCTATGGCTAAACTACATACGACAAGACCAAGCTCTGTTTTAAAATTACGTAAACTATTAGGAAAAAGAAGTTCACAATGGCTAACAATGACGAAAGTTGTGGTACACTAGTGATTTTTTTTTATCTTGACTATATTCTTTCTTTCTTTTCTCCTTTAATTGTCTTTTTGACGTAAACACTACACAGTGTGCGCCTCCTTTTTTATTATTTATTTTTTGCAGTTTAACAAGAGCACATTTCCTTTTATTTTTATTTATTGTTCTTTTTTCTTTTTTTTTTTTATTATAAAGAAATGCAAACAACAGCAAACAATAAAAAACTAAAAAAGAAATCAATTTCGGATAATAGCACGGCTACAAAGGCTACTTTTTTTAAATCAGATTCAAATAAGGTGAGCCTAGTTTTGTCATTCATTGCATAAATTAATGATAATAGAGAACATCCAACATCTGGAGATCTCCCGGACAATGTTGCGAGATACCGAATATTTTAGGCAATACTTATTTAGCGCCGTTTACAGTACAGACGGATAAACCAAAGAAGCCAAAGGAAGGGCCAAAAAGGGTGAGGGAGTTGGCACAAGAAGAATTAAAAGTAAAAAGGGATTTCCAAAATAACTTTTTATATCATATAGCCCCCTTGGATACCTGCTGGCTACAATTGGACACCTTCCCCTCTGCCACCAATCATTCGATCAGACGAGACACTTTTTGAGAAGCGATTAAGAAAGGCGTTACCCAAGCTATCCATTGCCGTATCACCTAAATCAAGATATATAGGATCTAAAGAAATCGGTACAGGGTAAATATCTTCCAAAAGGGGGATTGATGAATTCCCCTTCTCTTCAACGCTTTTTTTTTTATGTTTGCAAATAACAAAAAGAATTATATAGTGTGAATGGAGCGGTCATTCAAGTGCATGTCAAAAATAATGCAGCACAGAAACTGGCCCTTAAAAAGTGTAAATTAAGTCATGATAAAGAGTATCGCACAGCCATCATTCGCGAATTGCGCATCATGTCCACAGGTCATAGTCATATTATCAAAGTCAGAGAAGTTTCACTTTATCAAAGTGATATCTGGATTGCTATGGACTTGATGCGGTGTAGTGTGTTTGCTGTGCTTTGTGTGCGTGCCTTGCCTGAAGAATATGCTATCCTGGTAGCAAAAGAGGTACAGGGAAAAAAAAGAGAGGAAAAAAATAATTAAACATGTTCAATAGACTCTGAAAGCACTAGAGTTTTTACACTGCAAAGGATTTATTCATCGTGATATAAAGTGTGAAAACTTGTTAATCAGTCAAAATGGAGAGATTAAACTAGGTATGAAGAAGAAAAAAAGAATAGAGTTATTGTTTATAACCATCTCTTTTAAAAAGCTGATTTTGGATTAGCAACTACCAAAAAGCATCTAAACAGAGAAAGATTAGGCACTGCAAAAGTAAAAAATGATTTGCTTCCTTTTTATATTCTTACATGTTTTCTTTATAGTGGATGTCTCCCGAAGTGATAAGAGAAGAGTTTTATGATGAAAAAGTCGATTTATGGTCTTTGGGCATTACAATAATCGAAATGATGGATCGCGTACCACCTCATTACAATATTAAAAGCGATGAAAAAGTATTTCAAAAAATATTAAAGGAGCCTAGTCCTACATTCTCGTTTTCCTATCCCACTATTTATTGCACCGGTCTTGTTGCTTGGTTATTAGAAGAAGACCCTATTAATAGGCCATCAGCTACAGAAGTTATCAGGGTAAAAAATATATATAAATATATATATATATATATATATTTTTTTTTTTTTTTTTTTTTTTACAACGATATTAACGTGTGTTGTAGGAACTCAATGTACATTTGGAGCAAGGTTTTCTAAAATGCGCAACGAATCAAGAACTTGTTCATTTTCTTTTAAAAAATAAATTATAATCGTCTCAACAGTCTCTTCTTAACCGTTTTCTTCTTTATATCTTGTTCTTCTAAAGGTCTCTTTTGATCTGGTACTGTCTTTGATGCTTCCTGTTCATCTGATTGATTCTCCTTTTGTCTTTGTTCTACAAGGAGCAAGTATTGTGATTTCCCTGATTTGGCCTGAATAGATGTGTATAAACGTGCTCGCTTTGCATAATCTTCATACTGCTCGAGTAATAGTTTTCCTGCTTCTTCATTCAAGGCAGACTCTGGGTTAGGTACGATCAGTAAACACTTGATAGCCTATCTTGTTGTATAACATCACTTTTTCGTCAGTTCTCTTTTCTTTGTGGTTCATCTTTGCAAATTACCAATAGCACATGACGGATGCCTAACTCTGGCTTCCAATCCTTCTTGAGAGTATTCACACAAATTTCGCCCTTGTCAGAGACATTGGGATGAAATATCTTCGTCATAAAATAACCCTTGGGAGGCGAATCAGGAAAGTTTTCGTCAAATATTAATTTGATCTTGAAATAACCATCTTCATAGGGCGTTTTATCTGTATAAACTAAAGTTATTGCGTTTTCTTTCCTTTTGTGTATAACTTACCTGGACCACGAATCCAGCAGTGTAGCTCTGTTAAGCTTTCCTCATTAGCAATCACTTGAATGTCTTCAGGTGGATCTGATTGCAACTTTTCTAATTCTTTTGCAATCAACTTGATCGCTTTTGCTGTTAATGTCATTTATAAAAAAAAAAAAAAGAAAGGGGTAAAAGTTACGAAAACTTTTCGGTGACTGAACACACAAACACAAACGCGAACGCGCGCGCGTGTCTAAACTCTGAGTTACATAAACATTAAACCCCCACATCTTTTTTTTTCTTCTCAAAGTCAAACATCGCTTTTTTGCAAAGCTGTCAGTTTTATTTTTTGCGTCATGTTGAATACACCATTTCCCATGTGTAAAAAAAGAATATGAATCAAGCAGAGAGAACTCAAAAACTTGCTTGATCAACCATGTTAGAGTTTCTTTCTGTTAAGCTCTGGTTAATATTGTTTGGTACTGGAAGACATATTGACTCCTGGTATAAGATTGAAGCATACAGCCAGTGGATAATTTGGCTTACGTAAACATCGCTACAACAAACATACAAGTCAAAAATGTTTATTACAAGTATACAATTTAGAGTTTTTTGAATTTTCTCAAGCTTGCTTCAACAGCAGCAGCAGCCCACTCTTCTGCATGTGTAAATCCTTCTTGAGTAGAAGATCTGGCAATAGCTTGTTCTTCATTATAGCAAGTTAATACACCAAAAATAACAGGTACACCTGTATCTAATTGCACTCTCATGATACCATGAGTGACAGCATCACAGATATACTCGAAATGAGCAGTTCCTCCCTTGATAACAAGACCAATACAGATGACAGCATCAAATGGACCTGTCTTTTTCTTTTTCTCGACTTGGCTGACAGCAGGAGAACCAAGTAAGTCGCCAGTGGTCTCAGAGGCTTGTGATCGTGAAAGGTCAATTAATTGCTTGGCAGCCATAGGAAGCTCATAAGAGCCAGAGACAGTATCCTAAATTTCAAATATTTACTACGATGTGCAAAGCATCCACTTATATCTGGTTTACAGTAAAAATATTCTCGGGCAGCACGTTATACTTCTCGACCAAGGTTTCGTACACTTTGTTGTATAGCTGGTCAACAAGAGCATAGTTCCAACGTGTATGAACAATAGCAACACGAAGACCTGATCCATCCAACTTGGCCTTGGGTTGGGCAACACCTTTTTCAAAAGACTTAATTTCGCTCATTTCACGTAATGATTAGAAAGAAAAAAGAGAGATATAGGGCCAAAGACACGTTCAAAATGAAGAGCCCGCTTCAACCAATGAAATTTCTTCTTAATAAGCGTCACACATCATCGCCCTTGTAGATGAATGTTTGGCATAAACATGCTTTCTCCGCTACAAAATACTTCTAGGCCGTTGGCTGCTACCAACACCCATAACCTCACCAACTCAGAAGACGTCTCCACTAGTCTACCTGACGATTCTTCTCATAGCTACGCTTTTGTCACTGCTGCTTCAATTTTACCTTCGCTAGGTTTAAATAAATCTGAGATCATCTACGTTAGGCAAACCTTCAGCTAAATTAGCACTTCCTAAAGAGCTCTCTTTATACCATTCACAAAACGTGATCGGTAAAGACAATCACAAACAGAAAAACGTCGTTCACCGTACTGGCACCACAGATTACTCTGTTTTCTACCACGTGTCAAGCCACCTTGACAGCCTGAAAGCTTCTTCGGCAGAAAAAATCAACGAAGTATTCTCTCTCGGAGCTGAGTTGGGCCTTACTTCATCCATCGACTCTAACGGCGCCACCATTGAGATCTCATCGATAGACCAGGCCGCCTGTGAAAAGGCTATTTCTGCTCCTATCACTGTTGATGAACAATCCTTTTACGCCTCATCAGCTGTACACCCTGCTCTGGCCTTACTCAGAGTTAATCTCTCCAAGCTTACCATATGGCAGCTGGATAAGCTTCGTCACAGTCTCTTGAACAATTTCTCTTGTTACGATATTGTTCGCGACGGTTACGCGACGGCCACCGGTGTGCTTTTTCTTTTTTGTTGCCCTGGCGGCGCGGTTTTTTTCCCCTCTGCCTTCATTGCCATGACAACAACACCAAGCAAAGAAACAAGAACAATACAAATGCTTAGAATGCAATCAGACGTACCGCACAAGCAATGCTCTAAGATCACATAAAAGTTGAGTTCACAAGAAAATCATTTGCTTGACAATCGAAGAAGGTGAGTGTGAAGGTGTTTAATTTTGCCATACTAATTTTTTTTTTTTTTGGCAATCAAAGTCGTGAGGAATGCCTAAGGCTATCTGATCTGTCCTGTTTGTGCTGGCGAATACATCTATACTGATGACTTTGAGCGACATGTGCACATGCATAGCCAAAACAATGAAAAAAGTCGAAGACGATGCCACCGGAAATGTCACCGTGTCCCAAATTGATATTTTGCCAACAACGAATTTGCCAACTCCTAAGAATTTACTCACAAATACGGCACAAGAGTATCACAACGGTCTACTTTTGGCTCTGGATGTGAAGTATCTTTCGCCTGATAATGCAGAAAGCAGGCTCCTTGCTGCACAGCTGCTGGATGCACATCCTTTGTTATTTAAAGATCATCACGGCGAACCTCATTATCTACTCGGTGCCCTAAGTAACATCTCGAGATTGCTGGAATCACAATTTGACCAGCCGTTCCCACAATTTCAATCCCTTTCGGCGCCAAACAAACGAACCTTCAAGGAAATGATTGGATTAAAAGGAAACTTGGAGCCAGTTAATCATACCCCGCAGTTTGATCAAGCCATCTTTCTAACACGATGGAAGAAATGGGCAGATAAGAGATCGTATATGGAGCTCACAGACAGCATCTACAAATTCTTGAACGCAGATTGGACACGGCGAAGATGGCTTGCGTATTATTGTTCAAGAATATTTGAAAGTGCTATTCTTGTAAACCATGGTCAATATTTATTAGTGAAGTGCACCGAAATCTACCCTCGTCCACCTTGTCTTGATGCGCATTTTGAACGATTCTAGCAGGTGCATCAGCGATCTCCCGCGTCACCCATTCCTGAAGACGATGGCGCCCAATACCCAGATATACAAGTTTTTGTCATGAAAAACCACAACATGAACAAGCTTGTGACAAGCACGAAATCGTTCAATGCTCCGCTCACCTCAACAATTCACTTGGATATTGATCATATTCCCACCATTGGAACGTCGAGTATTAATGGATTCTCTCCGGCCAAGGCAACTCGAATTTATCTCGATCAATGGGTTGTAAAAATGTCGAATGAATGGATTGAAAAGAAAAATAATCAAGAAAAACGCCGGGACAACATTGGTGAATTATCCCCTGTATGTGTTTGACGAATTGGCGCAGCTTCGACAAGTTCGTTCAAAATTCAATGACCCATCCACGTATCAGTTCTTGTGTGGTTGCAGCAGCGTAACCAACGGCCTTCGCTTATGACCAATAACCGTGTGAACTCTTGCCAACATGAGTCCTACCAATGATACAACCAATGAGGGAAGAATAGCCTCACTTCTCTTTCGAACAATCGCAATCAAAGTTTGGGAAGCTGAAGAATTGGATTTGACATCAGTGACAGCCATTCAAATCAGTCCAGAATCCAAAATTGGGAAGTTGCTCATGGATGTTCGCATTATATTCCAGAAAAATCAAGAAACGATTCCCATTATCGGGAATAAGGCGCTCAACATTGTACTGACAAGCATGGCAAACGTGATGGCTCCATACATCAATAACGCGAACAAAGAAGTTGCATTGTCCATTTATGATACGTTGTTGAAAGAAAGAAAATAAACCTTCTGAGCATCTATTTGCCAAAAAAAATAGCATGACAAAATTAAACACCTTCGCACTCACCTTCTTCGATTGTCAAGCAAATGATTTTCTTGTGAACTCAACTTTTATGTGATCTTAGAGCATTGCTTGTGCGGTACGTCTGATTGCATTCTAAGCATTTGTGTTGTTCTTGTTTCTTTGCTTGGTGTTGTTGTCATGGCAATGAAGGCAGAGGGGAAAAAAACCGCACCGCCAGGGCAACAAAATCCCGTACTAGCATTCCTCGATATAAAATCAGCATATGATACAGTTGATCGCAATATCATTTGGGAAGAGCTCTCTTCAAGTGTACCAACGCCTTTTTTATTCCTCTTGTACAATATGTTTGAAGACGTTTCGATCGAAGTGATTATTAGAAATCATAAATCCTCTCGTTTTCATCCAAAAACAGGCGTCCTTCAAGGTTCCGTCTTATCACTCTATCTATATTCAGTATACATTAACAGTCTTCCAAATTTTTCTACGACCAACTCCTCTTTTAGAAACGGAATACAATGACCCTTCTCTTGTGGCTCCAAAATTATATTGCCTATTATACGCAGATGATGTTGTTCTGATTGCTGATAATGACTCTATGCAGCCTCTTCTTACCAAATGCGAAGAGTATAGTTTCTCTATTGGCTACATATGGAATCCAAAAAAGTGTGTCATTGTCGATCCCGATCCTACAATAAAAAAATAGTACCTGTACTGCACTGAACTTCCAAATGAACCTTTCTTTCCATACCTCGGTATACCTATAAAACCCGGTAGTATCATCAATAAGCAATCACTTTTACAACAAAATATCAATAAAGCTCTTGGAACGATGAGGCAGTTTCTTATCCTTGGAGTCAATAAAAATGGTTTTGATTGCTTTCTCTCAGCACGCTTCTATGCTCAAATAATCCGGCCGCAATTAGAATATGGGTTAGCAATCACAACCTTGAACTTACGAGAACTTTAATCTCTTGAAAACAGTCGAAGCCAATGTATGTGTCAAATTTTCGGTGGATGACCATTCACATCCACCAAGGTAATGTTACATAAAACTAATTTACCTAATATGAAAGATCGTGTTGCAGTACTTCAAACATAATTTCTTTTCAGATCTTCTTTTCTACCTGACAATGCATTATTAAAAAAATTGCTTCCACTGCTACAATCGTCTCCGAATAAATCGAATTTGTCCCAGCTCTCCAAGCCGCCCCTATGGAAAACAATACAAAACGAACGACTTGATATAATGACCCACGATGATCTAAAAAAGATACAAAGATTACTATGTGTCAGTTTCCGCTCAAAACTACAAGAAAAACATCCAAAGCTTCTATCACAATGCCGTATGAGCTTATTATTGACCCCATTTTACAGATACCAATGGCAGGAAGTGAACAATCTCGCTGTGTAAGATGGCGACTTGGGTAACTACCTCTCGGTAAGCCCCAAGCCTGTCCTTTTCATCCAAATGAACTCTTCACGCGATCGCACAGTTTTTCTTGTTTAAACATGCGCAACTGTCTTCAGATGCCAAAGTCTATTGAAGGCCCGCCATCTTATCTTTTGAACCTTTTGCCACCAACGCTCCTTACCAAGAAAGCAAGGAAATCAGTTGATGCCTGGCTCATTCGTTGGCCTACTATCTGTGCAATCCTACTTGAGATGTACTATTTGGCTCACTCTCAACTTCCAGATCCCTCTGACCACCTTGGTGAACCTTTCGTCAAACGTCTTCTTCATATAAAATATCGATTTTCTGATAGTTGTCATCACTCTCACTTTAACTCTTTTACATTTTCCCTTTAATTCCAAAAGGGTTTGCATTCCTTTTTCACAGCGACCTGACCAGAGCAAAGCAATAGAAATATTACGTGCTTATTGGTCATTTTATTTTAATATTATCGAATAAATCATAAAATCTGACAAATATGAGCACAGATGCTGAGTAATCTCAAGTAAGTCAGAGATAAGTTATTACAAAAGGGCGATTACTTTATTTTCATTCAAAATCTCCTGCCAAATCATCAGCTTCTTTTTTTCCAAATAGAGCTGACCTGTCGCATATTCCCTTAGGGCCCTCTTTATATCCTTGGATAGATTTGGTTTGTATCTGAACTCAATATCCTCTCTCAGATGGCCATCGATCCTTTCATAATGTTGTAAAGACCCTCTCTCATTAATTTTAGCATTCTCCAGTAAAGTGATCGCTTCATTGGCTCTCTCTCTATCAATGTTGATAGACGATTTTAATCTTTCAACCTGTCTTAGACATGACTCAGTGTGCTTTCGACTTGAGATATATTCAGATAGAGCAATCAATCTACGTTGCATGGCGTTCTATCCATAAAGATAAGCTACAAACCCCTTCCTTTTTATACTACATCTTTACCTGCGCAGCTTCTGTATTTTTTATCTGACAACTTATTTCACTCATGACTGTCTCATAGATCACTAAAGCCTAAGTTACTTGTGAATACAATACTATTCCAAGAATATATATAAAAGTTTACTTGTGAGCGTTGTATATCGTATAGTTGCTGGTATGCTTTTGCTAATGATTTATATGATCTTTATGATTCGAGTTAACTCTTTATCTTTATCTCTTCTGTTTTACTCTTACATAAATAACTCCGGATTCCCTTCCATTGCACCAAATGATACAAACGAAGAGGACAAGTTTATCCAACCATCTGACATGGCTAAAAATAGACATACTGTCAATATAAACAAATAAATACACATACACACACATGTGTACCTTTATGCTCTTGAACAAACTTGTTATTTTGAATAAGCCATTGATGAAGTTGATGTAAAACGATACTTAGCCGGTTAGTCCAAAATGTAAATTCAGGGTCCATATCTTGCTCAGAGACATAGGTCAACAAAGGCTTACTTAATTTGTGTACCTTAAAAGTTGGCCTAAACTAAAATATTCAATGTATAACCAAACACAAACCAACTTCATTCCCCTCTCCTCTCTCTCACTATCTCTTGTCTTACCTACCCCTACTTCACTTTCTACGAATTCCCGCAAGACCTCACTCTGCTGAACTCGCTCATGCTTTGCTATTCTGCTCATCCAGAGCTGTACTCTGTATTCAGGTGGATCTGATCGTTCGACTGTGATATCTTTTGATTCGTTGGATAGCTTGATCGTTAACCACCATTGTCTTGGCAATAAATTGCCTCCTTTATCAAATCGAGGTATAGGGCAAGCAGGCAAAGCGGGTATCCAGACGTCGTTAAGTGTAGACACAAGTTGGCTATGAAGCTTTTGGAGTTCGCTGTAGTATCTCGGTATTCTTTTCTGCTTTTGTTTAAACTTGGTTATAGTTGTCTATTGAATATATAAGCGAGTCGTTGTTTTTATTACAAGTTTATTATTACATCAACGTCTATCCAGAATACAGGATCTTTACGTTTATAATCAACATGAGTAATGGAGAACTGTAAGCAACGAGACATTCCAAGGAACAACAGCACAAGAGCGGAAAGAAAAAGAAAAAAGATATCATTTGAACTTCCGGCTAGAGTTTTTTCTTTTTTTTTTT